ATATGCTTATCTTCACATTAACTGACATTGAACATCCAACATTTTGTTTGACGTAATTCTTAATTTTATTTATACTGCAAGTAGATAATGGTATTAATTTTGGAAAAAAAACATTTAGTGTTGTTGCTACATTCAATTTTATTTATTTACAAATATTATATAAATTGTAAAGCTTGACAATAGATTGTAGGTATCTGCAAGAAAAATAAATTGTATAATATATATCATATGCAATTACTTTTAATAACTTACATGGTGTCTTTAAGCATGAAATATACATAATTATATTTGCTCTCTCATTACGCGTTTTCTTGCATATGCCCCCAGGCACGCCAAAATACCTACAGTACTAATAACTAGCCCCAGAATTAGGGCCAATGTATCACCAAAATCAAACATCTTTTGCTTTTACTTAAAAGTTGCAACAATTATATTATTGTTAGTTTACGATAATAAATGTTTCTGACATTACATACAATTGTGCCAACTTATAATTTCTTATAACAATTCAATTATTTAAGAATGAAAAATTAATATACAATACAAAACCAAATTGATTTTGTTTGTTTTAATGTATTAAATTTATATGTTGAATGAATATATTTTTTTTGTTGATATATTTTCTACATGTGGCAACACTACTATAACCTAAAAATATTTAAGTATTATTATTTCATATTATTTGTTAAATATAATAAGATGGATTTTAAAATAGAGAATGAAGATTTATATGAACTGTTAGGAATTGAAATAGAGAGTTCCACAAATGATGTGAGTTCAAATATAAATAATTTATTCAAATTTTAGAAAATGTTTATATTTTAGATCAAAAAAGCTTATAGGAAGAAAGCATTAAATTGCCATCCAGATAAAAACCCTGACAATCCAAATGCTGCTGCTGAGTTTCACAGGCTAACAAAGATATTAGAAGTACTCACAGATGAGACAGCAAGGAAGGCCTATGATAGGGTTCTCAAAGGTAAGAAGGAGGCAGCTTTGCGTCACAAGCAGCTGGATAGCAAAAGACAAAAGTTGAAAGAAGATTTGGAGGCTCGAGAAAGAGTGGTTAGTAAGGGTGTTCAAAAAAGTGATGCAGATAAGTTAAAGGTGAGATTGAGTATGTTTTATTAATATAAAGAAAACTAAAGTAAATTACATTAACAGGAAGAAATTGAAAGGCTGAGGAAAGAAGGTTCAAAGTTAGTACAAGATGAGATGGAATCAGTTATGTCTGAAATTAGATCTCAAGCTAACAAAGTACAAGAAGATACCTGGGATAGTGCAAAGAATAGAATAAAGATTAAGTGGAAAGCAAATAAAAATGACCCAAATAATGGTGGATACAACCAGGAATTACTGCAACGTTTTTTATCAAAAGTAATAAACATTGTTTTTATTTAAAGAAACAAAATAACAAATATTTGTTTTTAGTATGGTGATATTGTAGTGATGGTCATGTCGCCAAAGAAAACAGGAAGTGCCCTTGTGGAATTCGCTACTAAACGAGCTGCAGTTAGTATACTTTTAATTATTATCTAGAAACATATATAAATCTTTCTGTATTTTAGGAAATGGCTGTTCAAATTGAAAAAGGATTAGCAGACAACCCACTGGAACTGACATGGGTCAATGGGCCACCAGCAAGTGTTAATCGTCAGTCAACAACAATTAAAGATTCCGATTTTGAAAGTATTGTTTTAACAAAGATGAGGCAGGCTGAAGAGCGAAAACGTTTAATTGAACAAATGATAGCCGAAGATAATTAAATAAACGTATTTTTATTCATAACAGATGTCGCTAGTGTTCTTTCGTTCATATGCAACCCGAAGAAGTTGTCTGAGATACACGTTATTTCAAAAAATAATTTGTTTTTGTTAAGACTGCTATAATTACGAATATTATCAAAATGGAGTTATTAAATATCGTTGATCCGCCAAATCGTCCTATGAACACCAGCTTTAATCCTACACAGGAGCCTAAGCTTCACAAGGATTTGATTTTCATAGATGTTGATAAAACAGGCGAGTTAAACCATATAACCTACAAAATGTTATTTATTTTTTTTAATTTTATAGAGCAAATTGTTGTTGGATCAACAAATACATCGGCTACATTTTGGGAGGGTTCTGTACAGGTTTTTAAAGGCTTTAATAACTTCATTGAAAGATCCTGGACATCTTATTACAATGGAAATATTATCAATGATGGGAAGATCTTGTCCAAGTATAAATCTGTAAATATAGATATATAGAAGTATATATTTTTACTATAATAGTTAATTTTTTTAGGTAGTTATTGCAGAAAATCCATTTAGCTTGAGTGTATTGAATATTGGTGATGAGCAAGATGGTTCACCAATTTTAAAGTACTCTCAAGAACATTTGGAAAAGATTAAGAGCATTAACTTATGGGATAAGAGTCCAAGAATATTAACATGTGGTGAAAAATATCTGTCAATTTGGAATATAAATGAAAACAATGGCTTAAAGAAGATTCATGATTATGTGTATGGGTTGTAGCAACTGTTAATACCTTTTATTTTAAACTTAACTATTTTCAGTGGTTACCATACTGCAGATATAACTAGTTCTTGCACACAGAAATGCGATGAAAACCTATTTGCATCCACTGGAATTGATCGTCGTTTGATTATATGGGACACAAGAATGAATATAGGTGCCCATGGTAAGTGTATTGAATTGTTTCTTCTAGATTGAGATTTAACAAATTATCTTTTTTAGTTTTATATACAAATGAGTTTTGCTCATTAACTGCTGTTTCTTGGAATACAGATACTCCTACTACTGTAGCTGTGGGAACTGAAATTGGAGACATTTACTTTCTGGACACGCGAAAACCAGATGAATTTATATCGGTGAAATCATGCTTCAAGAATTCAGTGCACAAAATAGTCTACAATTCCACAGGGGATTTAGCTGTATGTGGTAACTGTCGAGAAGTCCAAGTTTTCAATGATAAATACGAAGTTATTTATAAGAACAGTGATCATTCCAAATTTGTAAGAGGATTATCATGGGCCAAAGGGTCTTTATACTCTTGTGGATTTGATACTAAAGTTTATAAGCATAAAATTTAATGGTATTCATTTTTTTTTATAATTAAACAATGTGTTCGTTTATAATAGCAAACAACTATTATAAATAATTTTTATTATTAATAATAAAATATGAGTTGTTATTTACATTATTATTGACAAGACTCGGTTGAGCATTGAGGTGGGCCCACATACATGATAATTACGAGAAGAGTTTTGACTCGTAATCAGCACGCATGCAGGTTTTCATCATTCTCATTC